TATTTAGAGTGTGTGTGTGTGTGTGGCCAGCTCAGCCCACCAGGGGGCGGGGCTGGCTGGCATGTGGTGCTGGGGGATTGAACCGCGGTCCCTGTGCTGTAGCTAAGCTTATTCTAAGTAGGTGCTTTAGACCACTGAGCCATCTCTCCAGCCCCTAATTTTTAGTATTTTCAGTGCCTATTTTTCTTGTACTGCTGTTTCATTTCTTGCAGTACTAGAGGACGAGTCCAGGGCCTTACAAATGCTAGCCTCATCCCTGCCCCCGCCTTTCAGAGATGGGCCTAAGTTTCTTGCAATGTTATCAAGAAAAGATAATTAAAAGAGTAACTTACTATATAAACGATCAACAAAAACTGAAGTGTACACATGTGAAATAAATGAAATAGAAGTTAAACACTAGGATCAGGGATATAGCTCAGTAGAATAAGCGCTTGCCTGGCAAGTGCAAGGGCCTGAGTCCAATCTCCGTTCCACAAAAAAAAAAAGTAAAACACTAGATAAGAAAATCTCAAAAAGTATTACACTTTGGCAGAATCCAGAGGATCCGGGTAAAAACTAGAACACACTGAGAAACACAATGTGCACATGTAATGCAGGCAAGGAGGCCTGTGAGGAGGGGTCGGCTCAATGCCACAACAGCACCATGAAAGTCACATCAGTTCACACAGTAAGCTCTGGACGCATGACCTTCCCTGAAGGGACACAGCACCAATCAACAAAACATGTTACCCTGCTCAGCTGCCTCCTCTTGTCTCACCCACGCAGACTGCTGGCCCGAGGAACTCCTCCCTCGCCGGGAGTAGTAGTTCTGGACATCCGCGGGCAGGGTCTTCCGCACAGCCCAGCTCGAGGCAGATGTCCACCCTGACCTGTCTGCCGGGGTGTCGAAGGAGAACTCCTGCTCGCTTTTCTGTTTATAGGGCTGCTGTTCCGCAAACTTGAAAGAATCATTCCCTGAACTGTTTGAATTCCCTGAGAGGGGTTTTCGGTTTTGCCACCTTCCCTCACTGTGATCCGTATAGGTGAGACCACCTCGGTACGCGCCTCTGCCGCGGTTACCCCGTCCACGATTAGACATCCAACCTGAACCCGAGTTTTTATTCCAAGAATTCCCTGAATTTTCATTTCTGTTTTCTTCCCAGTGGAAATCTTTTAACTTTTCTGGATTTCTGGTCCTTGGATCAGGACCAGAATTTATTTTTTCTGTCACCCAACTGGGACAGTCATTTCTATGTTTGTCAGCAGAATTTGGATCCTCAGCATCTAGAAGGGTGTCACTTTTTTCTTTTCTCATATTTTCATTCTGTTTCTCCAGATCATTCCTTCTGTACCGATCATTTCCTCGCGGACATCTCCAACCATCATTTGTCCATCTTTCCTTCCACCGAGGAGAGTAACTACCTCTTTCATTTCTACCAAATGAGGCACTCTTACTTTTTGTTCTAGATCTTGAAGGTGACCTAGACCGAGATCTGGATCGGGACCACCTTCTGGTTCTCCTATCTCGATCTCTCCTCTGTCCATCTCTCTCACTTTCTCTTTCTCTGCTCTGGGACCTAGATTTTTCTCTTGAGGATGTATCTTTCAGCTTTGACTGAGATCTTCGGCTATCTCTACATGTGTCTCTTCTTGGGGATGGTGATTCAGATCTTTTGCCTTCCTTGGTACTGTCTTTTTTTGGAGATCGAGACTGGGAATACCTCCTTTCTCTTGTCGCATCTTTTTTGGGGGACTGAGAACGAGATTTTCTCCGTCCTCTAGCAGGTTCTTTCTTAGGAGATGGTGAACGAGACTTCTGGCTTTCTTTCCCAATTTCTCTTTTGGGAGATGGAGACTGGGAGCGCTTCTTTTCTTGTACAATGTCTTTGTTGGGAGACCATGTTGTAGATGGAGAATGAAATCTAGACCTCCGAGTACGGGGTTTTTTGGACTTATCTACTATATCCATTGGGTTTTCAGATGTCTGGGATATAGTTTCAACTTTTTCATTTACAGGGCTGGAAGATGGCATGTTATTTTCAGAACTATGTACCACAGAATTTTCGGTCAGCTGCTTAGAATCAGCACTTACAGCTGCTTCAATTTCAGGTTCATTTTGGTCACTGCAAAGCGAGTCACACTCCATAGGTACCATCTCATTGTTGTCCTCACTGAAGTGCTTCTCTGTCTGTTCACTGTGTGCGCTGAGCAACTCTACATGTCTAGGCTGCTCAACCAGAGATCCAGTCTTTTCTTCTAAAGACTGATCCAACATGTTCAGATTTTTTATTAAGTTATTTTCAGAGTTTTCAGTACTATTAACATTTTTATTTTCTGCAGTTTCACATGTTGCTGCTATATCTGCGTCTTCAGTTTCATTATGTGTAGGCAACTGAATTTCTGAGGTCTCAACAGTTTCTCTGTCCACTGTTAGTATAATTTCACCCTCAGAAGATCCTAGCTTGGGGTTCTCTACAAGCTCTTCTGTTTTCTCTGTTGAATCTTGATGATCAATAATTCCCACTGTAGGACTCTCTACCTCTGTAACTTTTTGTTCACTATCCCCTAATTCTGCATTCTCAGTTATCTCCCCTGGGGGACTGGATACAGCCTGATGCACTTCAATTTCAGATCCTGAACACATAAGGAAATCACCTGGAGGATTTGAACAGGTAACTGCCTTTGTCTCTGATTCTGAAGATCCCAGTATCTGGTCTTGACTTTCTAATGGATCACTTTCTTTTTCAAAAATATCTTTAGAATTTCTACTTTCTAGGCTCACTGTGTTGCCCTCTACAGCTACAGTCTCAAGTTTTTCATTCTCCTCCCCATCTCCAACCAATGCAGGAGGGTCATCTGTACAAGACTCAGAATGTGAAGACTCTACATTTTGCTCCACGTCATGATTTTCCCTGCACTCCTCATTTTTTTCCATTTGTTCACTGCAACTTTCCAAGCAATGAGCAGCCTGTTTCTCTTCACCTGTCTGAACAGAACAAAGGTTATTACTTTTTTCTACATCTGACTGTTGCTCTTTTTCTAACACAGGTGGTAAGTCAGACTCCACTGTTTCTTCCTCTACTGAATCGCTAGACGGTGACTTTTCCGGGGGAGGCATAGATCGCCGAAGTTTCTTTTTTAATACAGGTGGCTTTCTTCCTCTTCTCACAGACTTCCGTTTTGGAGCCTGCCTTGTTTGCTTTTCCGACTCAGTTGGAGATAAAACACTCACAGAGGGATTACCGTTACCTGGGGCATCACACCCAGAACTGTTTGATGTTGGGGATCTCTGAGACTGGGCGACTGTCTCAGCTTTTGTGTTACGTGTAGATCTCCTTGTAGGGGTTGCTGCAGGTTTTCGTCTTGATCCTCTGGTATTTGAAGTACCAGAAGTTTGCTTCTTTTCTTCTCCTTCTTGGGTATGTGCTAGTGCATAGCCCTTGCAAGAGGTACCTAATAAAACAAACAAAAATTCTAAAGTATGTTTCAAACACAAAGTGTGATAGTCTGGCTTTAGTTAATAGCATCATAAAAGTAAATAATATAATGAAAGACTATAACTTTGAAATTATAAATAAATACATAGCTACTAACATCTGAGTAAACTAAAGCTTCAAAAACTTTTGAAAATATTACTGAAATAAGTTATAACCGGATTTGAATCTATGTGGGCAACATTATATGGAAAAACAAAAAAGGAAAATATATTCAATCAGGCAAATACTACTTTTTAGGCAAAATGAAAAATTGTCTTGTTAGCCAAAAGCAAAGACTCAGAACAACAGTTCTTATTTTTATTTATTTTTTTAATGCATTTGGTACAGGGTCCCACTATGCAGCTCAGACTCATAGTGATCCTTCTATCTTCAGCCTCCCCAGAGCTGTAATTACAGGCATGGACCACATGCCCAGACTCAGTGGCCAGCTCAGTGTGCCCAGGGGCGGGTTTGGCGAGGCCTGTGGTGCTGGAGATCAAACTCTAGTCCCTGAGCTTGCTTAAACAGATGCTTAGTCTGCTGAGCTATCTCGCTGGCCCACAGAATACTAGTTCTTAATTAACAGATATTACTTTTACTATAGTTTGGACAATACCTCCCCGAACAGAAAGGAAATCTTTAGTCAGTCCCTCAAAGTCTTAAAGTTGTAATTTCTTAAAACTGTAAAATGGGGGCTGGCAAGATAGCTCAGCAGACTAAGTGCCTGTTTAGGCAAGTGTAGGGACCAGAGTTTGAGCCCAAGCACCACATGCCATGCCAGCCCTGCCCCCAGATGCACTGAGCCAGCGAACTAAGAACTGGGCATGATGGTGCCCACATGTAATTCCAGCGCTAGAGAGGCTGAAAACAGGATTGCTACGAGTCCCAGCTGCGTAGTGAGACCATGTACCCAATACATTAAAAAAAAACCTGTAAAATGAATTGGAACGATTTTTAAAAAGTTGACAAAGAAGCATGTATTTACCATATATACAGTGTGGGATGATTAAACCTAGCTAATTAACACATTTGTTACTATACATAGTTGTTTTTGGTGAGAACACTTTAGATCTCACTCAATGTTTTTCAAGACCATAATACATTAAGTACAGCTACAGTGCTGTACAACAGATCTCTTGAATCTGTTCTTCTTAAGTCCACGTTTATTTCCTTTGACCAGTGTGCCTCCAGCCCCACGCACACATCCCAGCTCTGCTAACCACTGCTCTGCTCTCAACTGCTGGGAAATGGATTTGCTTAGAGCCTACATGAATGAAATCATATAGTACTCTATGCTTGGTTTATTTCACTTAAGACGACGTCCCAGGTTTATTCATGTTGTTACAGATAACAAAATTTTCTCCTCTACAGCTAAATGATACATATTCATTCTACTTAGAATTATTTTATCATTTATTTTATTTATTTTGTGTGTGTGTGTGTGTGTGTATGTGTGTGTGTGTGTGTGGCCAGCTCAGCCCACCAGGGGGCGGGGCTGGCTGGCATGTGGTGCTGGGGATTGAACCGCGGTCCATATGCTTTGCTAAGCTTGTTCCAAGTAGGTGCTTTAGACCACTGAGCCATCTCTCCAGCCCATACTTAGAATTATTTTAAAGTCAAATCATTGATTATTTCCAGAAGTATTTAAGAGCTACTATATTTTACAGCTTTCCTAAGTCATCAACACATTTCTATGAAATTGGAAGACACTAGTAATATTTGTTTAAAAGCAGAAAAACATTTCAGAAACTTTACCAAAATTTTTGAAAGATAAGGTGCTTGTTGGAAAAGCAGCTCTTGGAAAAATGGAAGAAAGGAGAGGAAGAACTTCTGCTTCAGCATTCCAAGGTATGAAACCAATTCTGAAAATTTAAAACAAAGATGATTTTACTTTTTAAAAGTGAAATTATAATTCAAAATTACTAATTTGCCAAATCAGGTTAGCCGTCTTAAAATACAATGCTTCCAACAGTTTTGCCTAGTAAATAAAACTATAACGGTTATTTATGGCCCAAAGATGGCTAACTCACTACAAAGGGGGGAATTTAAAAACATATTTTTCTTTTAAATTAAGGGCAGAGAGATAAAGACTAATAGAAATGCTTCTTTTTAAATAGTTTACATTTCATTACAACTGTTAGCTTTTATTATTTTGCTATTCTAAAGTCAACTTTAAAATGTAACGTAACTTGTACTGTAACGTCATATAACTCAGTAGTGTCCCAAATTTTCTGATCAAGGAGATTATGGGGCCAAAGAGGAAAGTGATCGATGATGTAGAGTGTGCCTAAGGAGAGTCACATGGA